ATTCTAAAAGATCTTAAGGTGATTCCTTACACTAAAACAAGACAAAAATATGATTACATGTTCGAAACAGTTTTCAAAGATACAAAGTGTCAAAGTTGAAGGAAAAATTTTGTTTTTTTCAAAAATTTCGGATTATTTCAATAAAACTTTGTTTAAAGTTTTATCAAAATAACCCTAGTGGTTTTTTATTCAAAGTTTTGAAATTTTTACTTCAACTATGATACCTGTATCTTTGAAATAAAATCGTTTCGGACATATAGTCTTATGAAAACTGTATCCCATAATACCTTTCTTTCTTTTATTAAAATATAATTTTCTTAAATGATTTTTATGCGACAAAAATTTCTTAAAGTTTTCGTCTTGATTTAATGTGAAGAATCATCCCTTAGAATCTTTTAGAGTATTTAACTACCACCATGTATATAGAAACAGCGAAAAAAAATTTGAATAAACCTCGAGTGAAAGATCTAAATAAAAAAGATTTAATATTTTTATCACGATATGCGGCTCACGCATGAATCGGCAGATGAATCCCACGAGAAATGAAATAAGACGCACGCGTCCGAAAAAGAACCGGACTGGTTTACTGCATTATGATAATGACGTTGCATTCACGCGGGCAAATATTCCCCGGTGAAAAGACGTGACTGGTCGATCGGGCTGCTCGGTTGCATCATCGCCGAGTGATCGTTAAACGCATCATCGACCGTGTGACAAACGGCCAGCGGTTCGTCAGCCGTGTGCGCAACCGCGTATAATTAATGCAAGCGATCCATTCGTCAATCGGACGCGATATCCATCTACGTGTTGCTAATGAATTCCACGATCATCGTCTAGTCGCTTCGACGCGTGTTCCAACAGCAGGCACGATGGATTCTCTCGTTTGAGAGACGGTTGCGTGCACAGTCGGTTGTAGAGTATTTTTCTGCTTCAGAATTTTTCTTTAGATTATATTTTGTTTCAATATTTATTTTTTCGATATTTATTTTGAAAATATTTATTTTGAATGTTTTATAAAAATCCATTAATACAAATAAATGAAATGTATTCAAGCTGGATCTTGAAGCCTGACGTTTTTGCATGAATTTTTACAATTTCCAGTTTAAGCAAATTGTGTCAATTATTTGTTGGTCTTGAAACATAATCTTAGGCTGATATTCATAGTCGATTCTTAATTTAAGACCGTCTTAAGTAACGTCTTGAGATGTGCTAATATAGCTCTCTGATTGGTTTATAACATCTTAAGACTGTATTTAAGACGAGGATCTTGAATATAAGATCCAACTATGAATACCGGCCTTATAGAAGCCGGAGTATGTAATATCACAAATTAAATGGACAAGCAATTTAATATTACTGATGTTAATAAACACCTTTAAAGCATCGTAAATAAATAAAAAAATTCATTATTTAAGAAAAAATTTTATTTTGTTAGCATATTCTAGATGCAGTAAGTAAATCTAAAGATGGACAACTCGCTGATCATTTCGACAGGAATATCATTATCGCAGCTTCGGTGAATTTATTAGAAATTGTTACGTCTATCACATGAAAGTCTTCGGTTGAAACGTTAAGCGTGAAAGACGACGCCTCGTCGGCTGTTCAATTTCTTTGCGGCCTGTCTTGTTACGATACTACGCAGTACATACTTTATAGCATCGCGATAAATTACCATGAAGTCGGTAATTATTTTTGCGTATATATGTGAGTAACGAAGACTGTGCTTGGTCCGTTGTAACTTGCTGAGTGTTGCGATAAAATTTATGAGCCTATTAAAAATTTCCGGCTAATGTTCTTCGGGACGCAGAAATTTTTTCAACCACATAATTTCTCAATGAATACGCAATAAAGACATAATACCGAGTTGATATTTATTATGTCCTTGATCATTGTTGTTCAATCATTTTCATATTGACTACATTAATAATTATGTTGTAAATGTCACGTGATAAAGAGAGCAACTAACGACCATATAAAATTAAATACAAATGATTTAATCACTTGTATTCTGTAATATAGAAATATAATATTATGTTAAGTATATTTTTAATTTCCTTAATACCTTATACTGAGTTTTGAAATTTTCGTTTAATTGATTGATTTATTTCTGTAATTGGAACTGTTTTTGTTTTATTATTTTCTATTTTAGGTCTGGATCTCCAGACCCTTCTAATTTAAGAGAATAATAGACAAGCACTTGGCACTTGAAAAATGCTATTTTCGATTCCTGTTATTTACAGCGACAGAACTCCAATTAAATTCGCAAAAAGCTTCGTTAAATTGATCGTTATTTCCAAGCAATTAATTTTATAGTCGCCGCAAATTAGTACTACACCTAGATTGGACAATAATTAATTGTATGTCAAACTTCGTACAATGGTAGATGTTTGACTTTATAAAATTTTTAAAACTTTATGTGTACACGGTAAAAAACATTATGTATTAATGTTGGAAACGGTCCATTCATGTTCCTGTTAACCGTGTTGAATTTTTCAATATATTTGAGTGTTAATTTAACATAACGTGATTATTTTAATATTTTGTGTTAAATTGATATTCAACATTTCTTAGTGTTAAAATGACACAATTTATGAGTAAGTGAACAAATAACACAAAAATAATGTATTTTAAAACGTAAATTTTACCTAAATGAAATACGTGTTAATTTAACATATATCATAAATGTTAATTATACTAAAAATATATGCTTTCAGCATTAACCTTTTTGTGATCATTTTTTTACACAAGATCCGTGTTGTTTTCTAACATATTCATCGTATATTAAATAAATACAAATATTTGGACCGTTTACGACATATGAAATGTGTTATATTCGACACAAATTTTCCAATAGTATAAAAGGTTATCACGTCTTAATTGACATTAAAAAAAACTGCTTTTTTTATAATCTCGAAAATCATTTATAATCCTGTAAATATCATTATTATTGATCCGTTTGATTTGCGGTAACTTGCGGTTTTCTCATGAGACAGACCAATAATATTAGATCGCGTTGTATCATTATGAAGCCGAGTCACAGTACCGAGTATGAGGATACGGTCCGTGGAGGTGTATTCATTCGCAAAAACGAGCGTGCTTATCGTGGCAGTGAGAGGAGAGAGCAATTTCACGAGTTCGGTACCGTGGTTATTCGCGCGTGCACGAAAACAGTCAATGGCCATAGTGCGATAATGGAATTTAATAATGCGATATGCGTCCTCTCTCTCTCTCTCTCTCTCTCTCTCTCTCTCTCTCTCTCTTTCTTTCTTTAATGTCTTGGTACTCTCTCCTCTTTCCTTTTCACCCTCATCGTCTTTCAGTTTCTCCTCCTCGCAAACGATGCGGCGCGGCACCCGTTGAGCAAGTGCATGAGCATGTCGGGCCAAGCGCGTTCAGTGGCTCGGTTCGCCGTTTAATTAGCCATTAAATATCAAGCAGCCGGCACGAGACTGCACGCAGATGGTATTTCGGATCAGTTAGAGCAGTTAGCAATGGGCAATTACGGATAATAAACAGACTGCGCGACTGCGGCAGCGTACGGCGCGCGTGGCGTGTTGTACGAATGGTCCGGAAAGCCGAGCTGCGTTTGTACGCTGCAGAGATGCATAAAAATCGAAATATCATAAAATATAATGGATTTCCGATGTCTGGAAAATTGATATGTTCTCTTTAGATTTTTGACACGAGAGTTAAGATCATCGTAAATTAATACGAAAATTTAAAGCTAAAATCCTAACACTATAAAAAAATTTAAAATTAAAAACGTATAAAATAAAAAAATGAATAGACTCTTCGAGAGAGAAGTATTTATTTCGCGTTGACAACCCAATTTTAGATCGACCGTGTTTTGAATCTGATATATCCGTATATGTCATATTTCTTCGTACAAAACGAATATTGAGCGCGCCACAAAAATACTGCGCTTCATGAACATGGAAATTCGGTATCGAGAATACATTCGTGATAATCATTTTGCATTCGTTTCAAGGTAGATTAATTAATCGGCACGCCCAAAATATCGAACCAACTGGATAAACCATTAGCATTAATATTTCATTATTCCCTCGCCCTATACGGGTGTTATCCGACTATCCAGATTGAACTCAGTTAAATAAAATCGTCCTACTATTTCAAGCTTTCTCGAATTTGCTCTATTCGAAATGAATGTGTTTGATGTCGAACATTACTGATCGCGATTTGAGAGAGTGATCGATTGCGCCGCGTTGGGTTGCTCTTATCGTAACAAGTCTAGCGTTCAAGTGAAATAGCAACCATTACAATTTTGCAGTAGTCATATACCTCTCGTTTACAATTAATTAGAACATTTAATAACGAGAAGCTAAATTACGTATTTAGAATAAGTGATTAATATGTAATAGTATTACGATTATTATATTATGTATATCTAATAAATAATAGAATAATTAGAATAATTAGATAGAGAATCAAATATTACAATCTTCATTTTAGAAATTTAAAATGTAAATCTTCTCTCTAATTAACTTTAATTTATTTTACTGAGCGACATGCTTTCATATAAACATTGTATTACTTTTCTTGCAATCGTGTTCGTTTATTTTTATTTTATAATTAATTAGAACATTTAATAACGAGAAACTAAATTATGTATTTAGAATAAGTGATTAATATGTAATAGTATTATGATTATTATATTATATATATCTAATAAATAATAGAACAATTAGAATAATTAGATAGAGAATCAAATATTACAATCTTCATTTTAGAAATTTAAAATGTAAATCTCCTCTTTAATTAACTTTAATTTTTTTTACTGACATGCCTCCATATAAACATTGCATTATTTTTCTTGCAATCGTGTTCATTCATTTTTATTTTACGCTTTACACGCTAATGAGCAGAATTGCTTTTAACATAATTTACATATTACCATTCACTTGGGCGAGACCATATTTACGGATAAGTCGTTGATATACCTACATATATAAAACACGCACACATATATTAGACAGTCTTACCTTTGATAGGTTGCCTGAGGTCCACCCGGTGTCATGGCGGTAGTTGTGTTTTGTGTTGCGAGTGCGAGCTTCTGCTGTCGATGTTGGAGCATCTGCCGGCTGAAGACCCCGTATCCGAAGCCATAGATTTCGTCCTCCTCCTTGTCGCTGAGGCAGCTCGAGGGCTGCACAAAAATGGAGATCGTTCGCTCTTTTCCTCTATCTATAGAGGCGGTGGGTTTTGCTTGCGAAGCAGTACTGGCTACTACTTATGTTGTAAACGGAAGAAGACGGGGACGGTATTAAGAACTCGTTATACAAAAGTAGTGTTGTGCTGCAGAATTTTATGAGGAAAAAGATGACATAATCGAACGTGAAAAATCGAACGTCAGTCTAATCAATGTTGAAAAAGAAACGACAAATTTAAAGATGTAAATCTAATTATGTAGAATGCTTTCCAATTAATTATAAATCTGTATCCAATTTCAAATTGTAAAAAGTAATCATTATTGTCGATTACAAGATTGTGAAGAGTTCCAAGCAAATAATAAAAATATATATAAATAATAAATATGTGTGTAAAGAAATTTTTACGTATTAGGTATATTTTCCATTTAATTTTATACAAAATTTATATTAGAATTTTTAATTTAAGGTCTACTAAAATACTTATGATGTAATAACTTCATACACAAATTAAAAAGATAATTTAATTAAATTTTTTATAACGAGTAAAGTCGACATAAAATTTTGTATTACCGTTACACAAAATTCGCTACAAATATTTATAAAGAAAAGTATATAACATATAATTATATAATATTCATAAATTTATCCATTGTGCCATGTACACATTTTTTTAAAGTTAACTTTTTCTATTTTAAATATTCACGAGATCGTTGTATTTAATTTAAAAAATATTAAAAAATTTTTTTGTAATAACCAATCGTGCTTAATCAAAACGATATGATATTCTGAAAAGAATAACTTTTATATTAATTTTTCAAATCGACACATCATTGATCTTCGAAGCAATCTGACCTTAATAGTCAATCGATTGCTTGCGTTTGAAAACTCGATTAGCCGCGGGGAGAAAGACTGAGTAACGAACAATAACCGATTTAAGCTGGGATCGATAGGGTCTACATGGTTAATCGCCTTAAAGCACTTTGGAAAGTTACTCATGGAAGAGCCACGAGCCCACAAACGCAAAGTGTTTGAACTTCCTTCCGTGAAAGATTTCCCGTCAAGTCTCTCTTTTGCTAAACATATCGTTCAAATGTGTATGAAAGACAGAGATACAAATCAGCATATTAAAAAAATATTTACTGAACCAACACAATTATATTTCGTCTAACAATTTTTCATTATAAGGCTTAGGCACTACTACTTGTTACCAATTATTACAAAATTATTTATTATCTTAGATACGTATTTATGCGTATATATATCGTTGCGAAGATTGTTGAAATACAATTTTAGTCTTATGAATACGTTCGTATTTCATCGATTGCTTGGTAAATACGCGATTGCCTGCGTCTGACAATTTTCTTCGTGATAAAATTGTCCCCGCCCATCAGAAAAAGAGACAAATGCTCGTATCGAATCAACTGGACGTGTTCTTCTTGCGAGTTCTGTCCCTTCAAAAGCAATTTGGCCAAGTGTCAGGGGAGTAGAGTAATAAGAAGAAATCGCGGCGATAGACAAGCTACTATATGTCACCCTATAACCGCATTATGCCATCCGCGGAAGTAATAAAAGAAGAGAACGCCCGGGAAGGGGCAAATAAAAGCGAATATGAGGGATTTGCTCACCGAGTATTTTCCGGGCACGTAAATGGGCTGTGAATGACTGGTGGTGAGCTGGGTGTTGGGCATTCGTGCGGAAGCGTTTGTTTCTCGCCGGCGTAGCTCCTCGAGCGGCTCAAGAACATCCCCGTAATGCGTCCTGAAGAGATCTGCATATCTTGAGGCGAGCCCTTCCAGATACCCCCTCTCGCCCTCCTGTAACACACAATATCAAAATAATTAGAAATCGTCGAAAAAAATTCTACAAATGAAAATGCTTGTGTACATAAGCATATCCACGATTTTCACATGTAATGTAAAATAATGGATACATAATATGATTTCGTATTAACTAAATCTGTGAAAGATTTCCATAACCGATAGTTGTTAAAAATTAATCGTTGACCTCAACTTTTTTAACAGCTCGCTATAATTCGACAATAACTGAATAATAAACACACTTTATTGTTATATTGCAATGTCAAAAACTATTTGCGTGTGCTCAAGTAGATTTGTGTAAAATGCGTCATAATTTTCTCATCAGTTGATAAATTAATAAACGATTGTAAATTTTTTAATGCAATCGTCATAAGATCAATTCATATTGGAAATGTGGAACGCATTTAGATTAATTATTGAGCTATTTATTAATGAAGCCTGACAAAAGCACAGAATTATCCTATATATTGCAAATAATAATGAATAACGGACGTGTTATCTGAATAAATGGGATAACTTTTTGAAATAATCAAATATACATTGTCACAATCGTAATATGTGTAAATGGCAATAGATTTTATTTTTACTACATAAATATTGATTTTTTTTTTAGTATAGGTACATGCAATATATTAAATATTAGATCTGTTTTCTTTTGGCAGATGATTCGCATATATTTTATATATGCACAATTTAAAATAAAAAAAAAAACATTTAAAAAATACCATAAGTAAAAATACAAGAAATTAAAGACAGCATTGTATTTTTATACGACATAGTTTTTAATATTGACGATGTTACATTAAAGATCAACTTCTAATCAAAGTGAACTGATATTCTCAAGAAACCGTCTTCGCGCATAAAAAATGTGTGTATACACATTCGCCCTGTTTTCCCGAATTGAGCCAGGTACAATAGTGTATGATTCAACGAGGTAAACGCATGGGCGGACGTAAGGGGAAGAGAAACGTCTAGGAATGGACGTACGGTCCAGGAGAGAAGCGGACAACGGGAAGTGGATAGAAGAAAGTCGAGGATAAGGATCGGCGTACGAAGGTTGGTGTCACATTAATATTTCAGGATTCCACTTCCGCCGACTCTTGATTCGACTCTCTGCTCGTAGTAACCGTGGAAGGGCTGTGTCCCTTTTATGGCCACGAGGAGGAAGTGGAGGCGGAATAGAGAGGAGCGAGGAGTTGGTGGGCGTAGGGAGGATCGTGAAACGGGAACGCTTTGTCTGGCGCGAATCGCCTCCTATTTACACTTTAAGCGGCCTCCATCCATCCTCCACATCCGCCGCTGCCGCCGCTGCCGCCGCCACCGCTGCCGTCTCTCCGCTAGGTGCCGGCAAGCGATATTCCACGGCTACCATCGTGGTCGTCTCTCTCTCGGATTTAAATCCCATTTGTAAATATTTCCTTCGCGGCTGTGAGTGAATTACGTGGGAATTATGCCCGACGCGAAGAAGCGGTTCATCTTCCGCGCGCGCCCGCTCCAATTTCGCGAAAGGCGCGCCGACAGGTTTCACGCAGACTTCGCGACAAAGTGCGCTACACGTTTAATTTCTCGATGGTAAGACGGCAAAATAAAGAAGATGTCTCTCTTCTCTCTAAATTTTTTGGAGTAAAATTTTCACTCTAATCCTGGAGTCACTGACCAGTTTACTCTACGTGGAGGAAGTATTCACTTTAATAGAGTGAATTCTTTCACACTAAGACAAAAAGTGAAAAGTTTCACTCTTATTTTTAAAGTGAAATTGTTAATGCTCTAAACTTCACTCCAACTTAAAGTGCAGAAATCTCGCCAAATCACGCCTAACGCCTTCTCAGTTCATGTTCTCGTACAAGTGCCGTTTACAATTGCCAATTATTAACTATGTTTAGTTGTTTTGAGTGTATGAATAACGTCAAGTGTTTGACGCAGGAATGAATCTATCAGAGGAAAGCTTGTTTATACATTTGTACCTACATAAAATAGAAATCAAAAGGATACGAACAGAGGTTGAGGTATTTCGTATAGGTATTTTAGGATAATAAAAGAAATTAATTTCTACTGAAAACGTTAACAAAATGTAATAAATCGAAATTCATGTCTTCAATCTTTAATATGTTTGTACTTCTGTACAGACAAAGTACTTAGAGATTTTAAGACTTATGCCCAATTTCTTCACTTCCAGATAAGTTGTGGATAACCTTATCCAGGAGATATCTCCATTACATTATTCTGGGACATATCTCTTGGATAAAGTTATCTAGAGGTGAAGCTGGTGAAGAAATTGGGCATTAGTCAAAAAATGCCTGCGACTTTATGATTAATTTACAAAACATCCTCTCTCCGAGAAAATTCACTCTTTTTAAAATTGAAGAATAAATCCAAATGAAGAGTGAACAATTTCACTCTTTTGAAAAATGAAATTTCGCTCCACTTCGATTGGCGGTATTTTTATGAATATTTAGAGTGACTTTTCACTCCAAAAAAGTGAGATTTCACTCCAAGAAATTTAGAGAGTTGCATGCAACGTATAACGGAATGTAAGATGTATATTGTACACGATACAAAAACTATTTTTTATTGATAATACTAAGCAAGCGAGTGATAAAACAGCTATGTAAATCGTTTTTTACGATTGTGCACAATTGTGTCTTACTAAAATCGGCCTCGGTAGTCTAAAGGCTTATAGGACGCTCGCACGGAATGCAAGAGATCCGGGTTCGACTTCCGGTCGAGGTAATATTTTTCGCAATAAGAATTAATTATTTATAGATTTTTATATGTCATTCAACATTATTAAGATCGTTTCAAAGATGCGAATAAGCATCAAAAATTTATTAAATTGCTAGTCAATTTAATTCGTGATATTAATGCGATAGATTAATAGCGTTTCATGACCGAAGAATAATTTCGGCGCGCAATTCTGGGAACTACACACGTAGTATATAAATTCACATAAGAATCATACAAGCATTAAGATCCAGCTAGACCGTTTAAGGCTTTGATTTCTATAGTTTGTGTTATCACATATACGGTCCTATAATATATTATATTGTTTAATAAAATCGGTTCATCGAGTTATCAATCAGCAGGACACTTTAGCGATTTTATTTCACACATAATTTGTCATAATAATTTACGTTTTTTAGAACGCGACTCACGGTGAAATAGAATACAATGCAAAAATAGAAAATGTAAACGAATAAGGCATGCGCGTGACTAATCCTCTGGGATATGTGACGTACGACATACATTTCAACAATTCGGTAGCCGTTTCGTAAAATTATATTGCAACTGTTGTCAGATATGCGGCTCCATTCCGCTAAAAGAATTCACGACGCGCTCGACATTACATTGTCTAGTATTAGTAGAGTAAATTGCACGAAAAAATATATAGAAAATTCCGTACTAAAATTATACGTATTACATGCATATATAAGTAACTAAAATAAAATCCAACCTGTATTCAAATAAAGGGAAATAAAAGCTCGAATATAATAGGCGAATTATATCTTTTTTTTTATGACAACCGACAATTTAATTGAATCACTAAAAAGCTCGCTTTACGTTTGACATCTATAATTTGCGTCAGATTTCAAAATAGAATTGTGTTCGTAATTTTATATATTCTACACTCTAAATTTCTTACAGTGAAATCTCACTCCAAGAAAGTGAAAATTTCACTTCTTAAAACAGAATGACAATTTTTACTCTTTTTAAAGTGAATTTTTACTTCAAAGGAGTAAAACCTCTTTTTTTTAATGAGATTTTACTCTAAAAAGAGTGAAGATCGTAATTTTTTTTTCAAAAAGTGAAATATTTTCACTTTTTTTCAAGGGTGGTTGCATTTTCACTCTCTTGGAGTGAGATTTCACTGCAAGAAATTTAGAGTGTATATTCTGATTAGTATTTCATTATAATATACCTATATTTCATACGATGTATTCTTATTCTTCAAATGCTTTTCCTATACAAAATCATGAACAATTCTACTCTGAATTCTGATATAAGTTACTACCTAAAATACCTAAAGTAGGTATTATATTGTGTCTGTTGCATAAAAGGTGCAATTTTGTGCAACGAAGGAAAGCTGGCTTTTCACCCCTCACTTCGACCACAATCAAAGCAGTGTTCAGAAGCTGTTCGCTCTTCTGTTTCTTTTTCATGGAGCGTATCTTCGCTGGCATTAAATTTAACGAATACACTTGTTTATTTTCGCTAACTTTTAATTCATTTTAATAAAAATGGATTAGAAAAATGAGAATATATCGAGTATGTAAAAGAATATACCCGTATAGAAGATTTTAATAGGCTAACACAATCAAAAATTGGTTGCTGCAATCAATTAAAAATGCTGTGCCATATTCAGCTCTAAATCTTTTCTTCCAGTGTATGAAATCCATCATATATATCGATTATATGTATATATAAAGAGTTCAATTATGTATAACTATATACATGAAACACCCTAATATTTCCTTTAATGCTGTCACAAATAATAAATCGACTTAAAATCTATTTTACACCATTCGAATCTGTAGCAAACGCGTGTGACACGTAATACGCATCGGTGCGCCGGATATTCAATGAATCGATAGGAATAGAGTCATCAATTGCAAAACGTCAAACGTCAAGATTTTCATTACGATATAATCTATTCCGACGAAGGTTCTACCTCGGGGAGAGTTAGAGAAGACATTAAGGTGAGTGTCGAAGACGCGCGAAGGATGAAACGAACGGAACGAGTCATCGTTCCGCTATCCGCCCCTCTTCTTTTCCCATCCCTTCACGTGCCCGTTTCTCTCGCCCTTTTATCGATAATCCGCGAGTATTAATTAGAATTCCAATCTTCCGATTTAATACGATGTTCCCCCGCCGCTCCAACACTTTCCTCCGCCGTTCCAGGCCTCTTCCTTCCACTTCCTCTTTCTCCTTTTCCATCCGGGCTTCTGCCCGTCATTTCCCTCCGAGGGGCTTAACGGTCAAACTGAAACTTTCAAATTGAGAGCGCATAAAGCGAACGAATTTTGCACGCGCGGGCACGACTCTTTGGAACTTTATCGCGTCGTAAATTAAAATTTCATCCATGAACGGATAATTGAGGAGTGATTAAAGCGTTCATTTTGCCAAGCTGCTTGGCGAAATGTCTGTAGAAATGTCCTTGTGGTTGGCTCCTATCTCGATTCGTTTTGATATCTCATCAAAACGAACCTTTGCAATTACTATGTTTGTGCTTCGATAATATAATTTCAAGCAGCTTACGTTTCTTTCTTACTATGATCAATCTTTTTTAGCACAAGTTATTAACAAATAATATATATTTATCCATATTTTTTATAATTAAAAAAAAAATTAATAAATTTCGAGGAGATTGAATTCCCAAATCTTCTCCTGGAAATGCTCATGATATAACGAGAACGCAATTCCTTTTGATTATTCTATGATTTTTCGCCGTGTCCTAATTCTTCAATTCTTCGGAAAAAAAAATATATGCCCGGCGCCATGCCATATAATTGGATAACAGCGAATTACCGCGGAAAACATAATTGCACCGGTGGTCCGCGCCATCTTTAACGAGCGGCGGGTTTCAGCGATTAACCGGGTTTTACAAGGGACAACAAGATTTCTTCTGAACGGCAAAAAAGATTGGTGCACAGGTTCTTCCGCGCGAGCTAAGTACCTGTGCCATGGTAAAAGTTAATTCTCCGTGCTAGCATTCTATCGTGTTACCATTCTGGCAGAACCATTTCATTCTAACGAGACAGCGGTATACAACATTAGCTACCTGGTTCGAGTCGACGCTTTGGACGGACATCCGACGAACAACCCAGCAACGACCGCCCTCTCAGTAGCTCGATAACAAGGCGCGCACTGTAATTATGTTTCGTCTCCTCCCCATCATAGATTTTCCGTGAGACTACACGACACACATTGCTATTTGAGGAACACCGTTCCTTTGACCGAGAAAATTTTATGGATAATAGAGACACTTTCTCAGCATGACAAACGACGCCTCTCCATTATTATGACATACATACCACACACACACACACACACACACACACATATACTGAGAAAAATTTCCGGGCTTTATCCGTTCAAAAAGTAACAGATATTTCCGATTGATTTTGATCGGATTTATAAGACTATCCGATCAAATTTTAGGACTATCTGATTAAATTTACCGGATAGTCCTATGAATCCGATAAATTTGATCGAATAGTCCTAAAATTTGATCGGATAGTCTTATAAATCCAATCAAAATCAATCGGAAATATCTGTTTGTTACTTTTTGAACGGACATTTTTCTCAGTGTATGTGTATATATATATATATATATATGCCTTATCGTCCATCAAGTTTTTGTTAAAATAGATCTTC